GCTCCCAGCTTGTTTTGATTTGCCTGCAGATCCACTTGGTTTCTTCTCCTTTTTTGGGGGCGGTGGGACGAGGCGGGAATATCCTGGCTGCTGGGTTATCTCTGGAGAAGATCCTGCCTTACCGCAGGGAGAAATAAATCCCTGTCTTGTGGCCAGACGTTTTATTTTCCTTACTGAAGTTAGATGAGCGAGGAGATTTGTGATTCCCTGCCAAAACTGTCCAAACATTTCAGCAAGCAAAGCCTCCTTCCAGCAAAGGCTTCCTGTGACCGTTTATAGGAGCCCGTGCTGCCCAAACAACCGCCTTGAAACAGAACTTTGTCTTCTCCTTCTGACTCTCGCCCCGGCCTGATTGATTCGCTCCTCTCCTCCGACTCTCTTCTGCCCACGCTCTCAAGGCCCACGCGTCCCTGCTGCTATCCCAGTAATGGATGGAGACCCTGCTCTAGCTGGTCAAGGCTGCCATCTCCCTGGTTTGGGAACGTCTCTGGCCTTCCCACGCTCTCGTTTCAGAAGCAGCGTTGCAAATCAGACCGAGGTGACGATGCCTGATACCAGGCAGTGCAATGTAGGGATGTTAAATATCGGTTAACTGAATAGTCGAGAAACCTCAAGAATTCTTATCGGTTAGTCAACTAGTCTATAGCCCCTGGAGGGGAGGCTGGCGGCCAGTGTTCTCCAACCTCACTCCCAAGGAGCTCCCTGCCACCCCGCACTGCTGCCTCTGTATCAGATGCAGTAGCGCAGGGTGCCGGGAGGGGAGCTTCTTTAAAAAAAACAGCTTCCGTTGCAGACCGACTGCCTGTCGCCCTGTGCTCCTACCTCTGATGGAGGCAGCAGCACAGGGTGGCAGCAACCCCTGTCTCGGGTGAGGGGGTGGTCTGAGCTCCCAGACCTGGTGTGAGCTGGAACTGAGCCAGGCTGACCGCTCGCCCGGCTCCTAATACGATTTAAATGCAGAGCTGCAGCAGGGGTAGGTCCTGGACTCGTTTCAAGCCGGGACTGAGCCAGCCTGCTAAAAAACTTACTGGCAAGTGTGGGGGGAGGGGAAATGCATGTGGTCTCTAGCATCAACCTATAAGCTTTTGCTTATCAGTGAATACACTATTGCATCCCTAGGGCAATGTACAAACTCCCCCAGGGAAATATGTCGGCAGTAGCCTAGCACAGTGTCCTCCTGAGCTAGAATAGTAACAGAGATGTAGCCGTGTAGTCTGGTCTTGCTGAAACAAAAGACAGGACGATGCAGCACTTTAAAGACTAACAAGATGGTTTATTAGGTGATGAGCTTTCGTGGGCCAGACCCACTTCCTCAGATCAAATTGTGGAAGAAAATTGGCACAACCATATATACCAAAGGGATACAGTCCCCCCCCGCCCCCGCAAAAGGGAACATACATAAAATTGACAAATCAGAACCTCAGAACTCTCATTCATGCTTAAATTTCACACTTTACGAATGGGCCTTAACAAAGATGCTAACTGCCTTACCTATTACAAAGATAGCTTCCCCAATTATCACCCCTAGTATCATTATCTCATAGACACTAACCTCTCCCAAATCTGATTTGTCAATTTTATGTGTTCACTTTTTTTATTGTATCCCTTTGGTATATATGGTCATGCCAATTTTCTTCCACAACTTGATCTGAGGAAGTGGGTCTGGCCCACAAAAGCTCATCATCTAATAAACCATCTTGTTAGTCTTTAAAGTGCTGCATCGTCCTGTCTTTGGTTTCTCCTGAGCTAGGAAAGGGGGATTCCTTGTGGCAAGGGGTTAACTGGAACCCTCCCCCGGGGAGGTCGACTGACATTGGACTGTGACCTCTCTGCTCTCTAGTTAACTTGACAGCCTGTGTTTGCAGTAGGCCGGTCCACTTCCCCCTGCACGCACAGTCAGTGTACACGGGGAGGCCAGAGACAGGCCATTATGGATCTGGTTTCCCTGGGAGCATCCAATCACGCATAGCACCCTGTACTATGAACCATAATTCCCTTATTAGGCATGGGCAGATCCAGGGCAGATGTGACGGACACTCTCCTCTGTCGCTCTGCCAGCTTCATGTGGCTGCTGGCCGTGTCCCTGGCTGGCTTGAGTTCTCTGCTCTGAAAGCCAGCCGCTGGCAGACGTACAGCAAAGAAGGGTTCCAATTCTATTGGATGGACCCAAGTCTTAAGTTTTCTGATCCCTTCTCCCGGGCCTGATGTGATCATTAGAATACCCCTGAGCCTGGCTGCACAGGAGCCAGTAGCAGGGCCTGGCAATGGGGGTTTTGCCACGGTTGCAGAAAACTCTCCTACACGGCCCAGGTGGCATGATGCTGTCGCTCCACCAGCCAACACACGAGGAGAGCCCAGAGCAGAAGAGTAGCCGTGGATGTTCTCTGCTATGGTGGCTCCCGGCTCCTTCCCAAGGGGATTGCTGAGCGATGCCAGGCATGCCCTGACCTAAAGGAAAGAGCCTAGGAAGGTAGCTTGTGTCAGTCACTTCAACAAATCTCCAGTCTTTGAACACTGACACCTTTCCTGTGGGTTTTTAGCCTTGGGGGAAGTTTTAGGCTGCTGCTGCATTTTGCTGTGACTCAGTGTAATCCTAGCCAGCTGCACTACAGAGGGGACTGGAGGCAACCTTTCCTTGTGGCTGGGATGAGGAGCAGCAGCCGCCCGGCTGTTCACCTCTGGGTACTGTCGGGCCGTGCCTGCCAGGGCAAGCCCCCACCGTGGCCAAGAAGCTGCGGTTTTATATGGTGCACTGATGCGTAGGGGGCTTTGCAAGCACGCAAAGCAGGCACCACCCTAGCAGAGTCCACAACCTAGGGATGGGAGCGGGCAACCGATTGTCCAGTAAGCAGCACCGGGGCTGGGAGTTTCCTGGGGCTGGTGGTGGCAGCTGCAGCCCCAGTGTGGGATCCTGTGTAATCCGTTAACTAGTTACATGTTCAGTTAACTAGGGATGTTAGAAGGCAACTGGTTAACCAAGAAGTGTCCCCATATCGGTTAACTGCACCCGCTTGCCCACCTCACTGCGGCTCTGCGTTTTGAAAAGCATGGCTGTCAGTGGGAAGCCAATTCACACTAGGAGTCTGCCAGTTCCTGATGCAGAGCCACAGTGGGGGGCAGCCTGGGAGTGGGAGCAGCTGCTGGCACCTGGTGCATGCCAGGCTGCTGCCTCCTCCTGCAGAGCCCGCAGTGAGCTGTAGTCAAGTCCCTTTGTAAAAGTGAGGGTTAACCATGTAACCGGCAGGCTAGTTACCGGTTCCCGTATTACACACTCTTAACATCCCCGAGGTTAACCTAATGCTTAACCAGTTAACTGACTGATCGGGATTCTACACCCCTACTGCAACCTAAATGCCGTGTTCCCTGTAAGCTGAGTGCTTGGGTGGCCACCCACGAAATGTAAGTGCTGCCCAGCTGACTTGTAGAGCACCCTCAGCCAGCAGCAGGTGTTTCTATTGGTGGTGCTCATCTGTATGTCCCACCGTGCACACGGCAACACTTATTCTGCACGTGGATGGAAAAAAATTAGAGGGAACACTCACCTGACTGGGAACAAACCCCAATGGCCCTGTCGTGCTTGTAGGGCCGGCTGCACCTCTGTCCCCTTGCTGGCCAGAGTGCTCCTCTCTGGGTGCCCATGCCTCTCTGGCAGAATGGCCTGATTCTCCCACTCAAAGGCTGGGCCTGGCCTGAGCACCTCACGAATGGGCCCTGCGGACCTTGCAGTCCAGCTGGCTTCAGACACCTGCAGTTCTTCCCTGTGGGCGGCTCTGCCTCATGCTCGGCCATGGGCAGCCCATTGCCTTGCACCAAAGTGTTTGTCTTTTTTTTTTTTTTTTTTTCTTTTTTAAACAGTAGGCACAAAGGATTTAGAGAAGATTTAAAATGTCCAGCTTACTTGTGTTTCTTACTGGAGTCCCTCCAGCTGAGGGGGAAGCAAGGCAGATCTACCTCCTTCCAATATTTCAGTCCGCTTTCCCTGCCTGAATGATTACGGCCCTGGGGGTGGGAATGGGGGGGGCGGAGGAGAGTCCCTTTTTAAACTGCTGTGGTCTTTCTGGTTCCCAGGGCTGCTCCTGTCCTGGTTTTGTCTCTTCTCAGCTTCATGTTTGCTTAGAACTGGCTTATCTGGAGCCATCATGCTTCCTTTTCTACCACTCCCTCTCCCCCTCACAGCATCCTAGAAAGCAAAACCAACATGTTGATCTCACTCCCTGCTCAACTTGCAGGGTTCAGAACCAGTTCTGGAGCTGCTCCGCTTCCATCCCGGGCTTTTCCTTGGTGTTTGTACCATGCCTGGTGACTGACTTTGTCAGGCCCTAGGCGCTGTGTGTGTGTGTGTGTGTGTGTGTTGGGGGGACAAGGGCTCAGCTCTGGGACCCAGAAGGGGCGGGGCTTTAGCTGGAAGGGGCGGGGCTAGCCTCCTCCAGGCAGCCTTCAGTGTGGCCCAGACCATGGCCCCACGACTCTGGCGGCCGTTTTCAAGGGCTCAGTTAGCTAGCCGCTGCTGTGGTGAAGCCGGGAGCCTTTTTAAATCGCCAGGCTTCAGGGTGGCTGCCCTCTGTGCACCTTCATGGGCAGCCCTGGTTGGGACAAGGGGTGGAAGGGAAGCTGTGCCCGTCTTGCTGATGAGGATGGCTATCTCCTGCCGGACCATCACTTAGTGAACATGCCTGACCGGGGGGAGGGAGGGAGAGTGGGCTCCAGTGAGGGACCGCTATATCTGCTGAATCCCAGTAGCAGGAACGTACTGCAGGAGCAGTGGGCTGGGGCCGCAGGAAAAGGGCCGTGCGACTTAGCACCTCCCCCCAAGTCAGGAACAGGCATCAATGACAGGCCGACCCAGGGATCAAACCCCAAATACCCTGACACTGACACCCTGCTGCTGCTGATTCACTAGCCCATGAGCTCTGAAGCAGAAGGGGTGATGGGCTCTGAGCAGGACTGTGTCACATTCTCTCTCACGCGGGGTCTCCTGTGTGTTCTCCCCTTTGCTCCAGGTGAGAGTCTGGCGGTACCTCAAAGGCAAAGACTTCGTGACACACGAAATCCTCTTGGACGGTGGGAACAAAGTGGTAATCAGCGGCTTCGGGGACCCTTTAATTTGTGACAACCAGGTATCGACTGGGGACACCCGCATTTTCTTCGTCAACCCTGCCCCCCACTACATGTGGCCCGAACACAAGAACGAGTTGATGCTGAACTCCAGCCTGATGCGGATTACCCTGCGCAACCTGGAGGAGGTGGAGCACTGTGTGGAAGGTGAGGCTGGTTCTTTGCATGTCCTCTTCTCTCACTGCAGGGTTGGCTTTCTTTGTGCATCTGTACGGTAACAGCCACATTCTTCGTCAACCCTGCCCCCCACTACATGTGGCCCGAACACAAGAACGAGTTGATGCTGAACTCCAGCCTGATGCGGATTACCCTGCGCAACCTGGAGGAGGTGGAGCACTGTGTGGAAGGTGAGGCTGGTTCTTTGCATGTCCTCTTCTCTCACTGCAGGGTTGGCTTTCTTTGTGCATCTGTACGGTAACAGCCACAGCG